ACCTCAAAATGATTAGATTTTCGGGCCCCCTGGCGGCTTGTCATGGTACTGCAGCAGAACTTACCGGTTTTGATATCTCATGATACAGACAAGCTAGGGTAACCAAATTTGGATGGTAGATAGCTCTTGTGCTGGGGATTAAAGTGACATGAGTTTGAGCCCCCTAGTTGCTTGCTCTAGAACTGCAGGGGGGTTTAAAGGACAAATGTTTAAAAGAGGATAACTCAAGAACCGTTTGATGGATCATCGTGAATTTTGGTATGTAGGTAGCTTAAGTGATGCTTGACATAATGACATTACAATTATGCAAATATGAATGTAATTTGCATAATTAATGAGGAAATTCTCTAAATCAGCTGCATTCCATTATTGGAAGTCCAAGCTTGTAACATATGTTATTAAGGTTCCGGGTCGGAGTTTAATTCTGACCAGAGTCTAAGTAAGTGCGCAGTAAATCGCCGGAAACGTGACTTTGAATGGTATGTTTTGGCCGCGATATCCCTGAAATCGTAATATCTGTGTACAGATATTTGTATTTTCTGTAAAGCCTGTTAGTTGTAGCCTTTATAGGTGGCGTAATGTTGGTGGTCCAGCGAAGACTTCCTGGTATTCGTCCGCGCGGATGGTAATGTGGCCTTTTCGCCTGACCGCCGGGATTGTACGTTCTATATGCGTTATGGGTGTGTTCGGGCCATCGAAGATAGCGATAAACTTATCGCATCGATTTTAATTAAATTCAAATTTTGGAAACACTAGGTTCTGAGCTTCTTCGAGTACTAAGCCGTTACCCTGGGAAAATTCGTTTTTTCCATGCAGCCGTGGTTAAAAATGACGAAAAAAATTACCCCTTTTTTAAAAATGTACTTTGATGTGCCTTAATTACCCCTAAATAAATTGGGCGCAGAAAATATCAATCAACTGTATTGATAAGCGGCACGGCACCCCTTTCCACCAAAAGAGTGAAAAATTCCGACCCGCGTTTAGTACAGAAATGACAGCTCGTCGGGCTGAGGGTGTCAAATTGCTCGAAATACGGAGGGAAACTCCGGTCCGAGACCTTAAGAACGAGAGAAACACAGGCAGATATTGATTATGCAAATGAAGACTTAATTTGCATAATTAATGAGAAAATGATATAATTGCATGGTGGTAACTGCCTGGAATTTCATACTTGGGGTGTTTGAAAGTTAAGTGAAGGTGAACATAATTAAACATAACTTACTCAAATATGGACCACATTTGCATAATTTATGAGGAAATGCTATGATGGCATTCTTTGTTAAGATAAGACTGTCTTTTGGTGTAGAATATGATCAACAGATATAATTCATGCAATTGAGGATCCTATTTGCATAATCAGGGGGATTAATATATAATTTCTTATTCATAAAGGCTAACTTCATTTGGCGAAGGTATGAGATCGTGGAACTCTAGTTTCTGTTTGCACAAGTCGCGGTAGAAGAGGTTTCTTTTATCTATTAATTATTTATCTCTTCCATCTTTTGGCATGAAAGAATTAAAATGCTTAACTAATAGGAGATATTGCTTGCAAGGAAAAAAACCTAAAGGTTTGAATCTGACGGAAAATGACTCTAACATATTTCACAGCTGCAGGGAAGAATGAGAACATCAGAAGGTTTAAGTACAAGGAGGTAGTGTACTGTAAGCAACGAAACCACTGCCACTCCCGATCTTTAATGGGCAGACACCACATTTGCGTTGCGCAGTAGAGGCCTCAAAATGGGAACAACGATTGTAGTGCCTAGTTAATACCTTTGAAAATCCTTTATTCTCTTGAAAATTTTGGTCCATTTTGGAGATTTTTGGGCTGGAAGGCACAGGTAGGGTCTAAACGTTCCTACTTTGGTGAAGTTTTGTTTATTTCACCAGTTTAGTACGTGGGCGTAATGAGAGATGTGAGTGGTTAGGTCTTGTCTGGCCAGGCGGATGGATACCATAGAAAATGTAGGTCGAGGTTTTGTTACTATCATCAGCTGTGGCGGGAATTTAAGGTGGTCGACCCCCTGTTTCCTTTCTATTTTTGGGAATCAGACCCTTGTGGCTACCTGGTGCAGGAAAATTTTTGAGATTGAAGTATGGGCAAGTACTTTCATGAGGACTTCTAATAGTGTATTTAAGCATGTGTTCCTATGGATAAATCTAATAGTACTATCTGCCCTAATCTAACGGAAGAATTACTCGGAAGGCTTGAACCCAGAGTACTCTCCGCTGAAATCGTGGTTCTCGTTCCCAACCAAGACCGGGTGGAACACGCACAGGGCCTCGATGTCTTCGTGCACGATCATGTGGTGTGGATCGTGCGCGTTCATGCTGTAGACGGTTCCGTTCGTAGCATCTATACGTGTCTCCGCCTCCTTCGCCCCCTCTTCCCACGTGTAGGTAGCTCTACCTAGAAGACAAGAGTGTATAGATGGGTACAGTATCCTTTTTAGTTGAAAAGTACGCGTATTTTTCAACTAAAAAGAATAACATCTGCGTCCATAAAGTCACCAGGGTCCATAATATCGCCACCTTGAGAAACAGTGTGCTTAAAGATATTTTTCTGCAACATACTTTTGGTATGCACTCCTTCATACATCAAATGTACATACCTAGGGTATGTTGCAGTAAAAATATCTTTAAGCACACTATTTCTCAAGGTGTGGCGATATTATGGACCCTGGTGATATTATGGAAACAGATTTTACATGTACTCTGTGTGATGTCAAAAGTTGACTTTTCTTGCTTTCCCTTTGAGATTTTGAATTAGTTACATGGTGCCAACAAAAACTAATACAGCGCAGCAAATCAGATGACAATGCAATGCAAATCCTCCCTTGACCAAAAATGCCCCCTATCAATCTCATACTCAATTGCAGGCTACGAATACCTTTCACGTAGTAAGCAGACTCAACGTGGTGTTTGTAGCACAGCGCATTTCTTGCACCGGCCTGTCCAAATGTGTTGTGCACGCTGATCGGGAAACCGTCCGACTTCTTCAGGAACCTTCGGCTGTGCCCTCGGCCCCAGTCGATGTCCCGATCGGTGCCGACGATCTCCGAAAGAGACCGAGCCACGGCCCGATCCACCGACGGCTCGACGTCATCACAGAAGATGCAGAAGAGGCGAAGCTTTTCTCCAGATGTGACTTTAACCTAAAGCAGATATCAAAATATTCAAAAATCTAACTAATCCAAATGCTTGTGCTTATGTTGTTTTCTTATGTTGTGTTCAGTAAATTTGTATTTATGTTTTCAATTGCTTCTTATATATAGAATCATCTTGATAGAAGTATCTTTTCATTCAAACCAAGAATACCATCCGGATTTTGCTCCACTACGCTAGAAAAAAATAATGATTTTTCTAGCGGAGCAACATATGGATGGTACCCAGGCTAGAAAACTCCCATTTTGTGCATTTAATATACCCACAATATCTTGTATCCTACTAACTGGTTGAATAGGACATTTATGGGCATTTGATGAATGTATCTTAGCAAAACTGGGGCAGGTTGATTTACGATTGACAGAAAAGGGGGCGTTATTTGCCTCAGAGAGAGAGACCCAGTTTAAGGAACAGTGCGCAAGGACACATATTGATCAATGATTGAAAAGGGCAAGGCCACACATAATGGTGACAAAATGGCGGCCGTTCCAGGGGTGCCAGAGTATACAATGCAATTTCACGGAATACAGTGCAATTTTACGGAATACAGTGCTACTTTTACTAGTAAAATTGCACTGTATACTAATACGATTGCACTGTATTCCGTAAAATTGCACTGTATACTAAAACGATTGTACTGTATTCCGTAATACTAGTAAAATTGTCTGTATTCCGTAAAATTGCAATGTATACTCCCCTGGTTTCGCATCGAGGTAGTTTGTTTAGTATCTCCATACCATGCATTTCATGATTCAGGTTTCCCCGAAAATTCTCCGTTAGACATGTTTTCATCTGTAGTTACATCATTTCACATCCACTTTTTTTTCACGTTTTTGTTCCAAATTTACAAAAAAAAGTCACACAACCGGAGCCGCTAGATTTACGATTTTACGGCATACACAAAAGCCATATTCGGTACCAAATAAGGAATCCGTTCTCAATGTATGGACAAATCCCATGTGTTAGCGATCTGTCTTAGCAGGTGGGTTCCCAGTAACCGGCCCCATCTCGTGGTGAGGGCGGCATGCCCGTCCTTAGCTGACCGCAGAGACTTTGTTCCCTTCCCAAGGTTTTGTTTGAAGAGGTGAAAGTCTCGAAGACAGCCATGTCAGAATACCTTGTGTGTTAACCCTACTGAAAATGATATCCCTGTCGGTGTCTATAGCAGAGAACATAGGCAAATGCATATTACAATTATATAGATTTATGGCAAAGCACCTAAAACTATCACCAGTATTTTCTTACAAAGATCAAATACCGTGTGGTCAATGTGAGCAAACAAAAAGTGAAGGGGGTCAGGACAATGGCAACCGGCCATATTAGGAGTGCAGTCAAAACTAATCCACAATCGCAACCCCGTATAATGCTTTTTGAGTGATGTGCTTACCGTACAGGTTATACCGGATGAAAACGCCACGACAACGTCAGGAGAGAACTCGTACACTCGCCCTTTAGACGCCGTGCCTGTCCCACTACCCGACACGCAGTAATACACATGGTTCAGGAGGGGGGAGGGGGGCGATGTCAGGCACACCGTCTCGCCCGGCTGGAGAAAGACATCGTAGGCGGTGTAGTTCATCCCATCCTCCGTGGCGACAAGCTGCTTGCCTCGGAGATTCTGATTCGGTAGAGGGACCTCTACAAGGTCGATGGAATGGCGAACGATCATGTTTATGTACCACAAATGACGAGTCGACCTTTCGCAAATACAGAGTGTAGGTCACGGGGTGACCTGGTGCGCCAGATACGAAGGTCAAGAAACGAGGGAAAGCCGGGTCAGCATCTTGATTCCATGTGGCACATCTAGACTGGGTTCCAGACCCATAGCACACTGGACACAAGATATTTTGTGTCCAGTGCAGTGCTATGGGTCTAGAACCTAGGCTAGGCACATGCGGAACCTAATTTTATCTGGGGATCAGAGGAGGTGGTGTTCACACCAGAGATGATTGGGATATTTCGTGTATACAATATCATTCGTGTCATTTACCCGAGTTATTTCGACCAAGATAAAGTACCAGGTTATGAATTGATATCAGCAAAGATGAAAATTATACTTTTTTCTAGTATGGTGATTTCTTCTATTTCTTTGTTGGAAATTTAATTATACTATAATAAATATAATAAAAATTGGCATTTTTTAGACATCTGTATGTGATTTGTGTATCTGCACTTGTTTTTGTATTGTCCCTGTTTTCATATGGGCCTCCGACCTGAAGCAAAGAATAAAATAAGATAAAACAAAAATAAAAATAAATTACCACAGATGAATCACTTACTTTTGCATTTAATCACATGGTCACGGCAAGTACAAAGGTATTTACTGACAACACACACAAAACGTAAGTTTTAATGTTTTCACTAGTCTAAACCGTTACACAGCAGATATGGGTGTTACCAACTGCTAATTCCGTTGTAGATTAAATTCATAATAGTTAGTATGATACATGGAAAGATCTAGAATTTCCATTGTACGGACTTGTACATAGTTGTACAGACCGTGTACATAATGGCATGTTGGTATATATAATACTTACACGACACACGAACACCTCAAGTTAAACTTTCAAAAGAGTCATACACTTTTAGCACTGTTTGTAGATGCGATCTTCAAACATAGTAGAATAAACATGCCATTGCATTTTTTGCCTTAACCAAATTCGTAGGAAAGGAGCATCTGTCGTAGGAAAGGAACAAATATTGGAGTGCGAAGGTCTCAAAACAGTCGATAAGTACAAGTTTACAGGTACAACTATACAAGTATACTTGACAAAATGTCAGAATTGGTTAACAGTCGCAACTTCAAAGCCACATCACAACTTAAAGGCGGTTTGCAGTCTCCGGTATATCACTCCGCATGGCATGAGGCTCACTAGAAATAATGAAAATGCGGCATTTAGCTATAGGGAAAACGTTGTTTAAATCTAATAATGGAAACATAACGTTAATATACTAATGTACAATAAATAAAAGATAAATCTAAAAAGAATTGTAATTTCATCCAACAAATAACTGATAATGTTCTAGTCGGTTGCTTATTTCTAACTACTAGGTCATCATAAATGTCTCATAATCAAAGTATTGTGTGCAACATGTATACTGAATTACTAGGTAAGCGCGACATCTGTATATGCACAAAGTTTAGGCCAGACATTGATAGTGGCAACTGTAAAACAATAACACAATTCAAACGAACGTCTTTCTACCTGAAGTGGTACTCCGAAGTGGTTAAAAGAAACGCTGAAGAACGCTGTTGTCGGTAGAGTTGATGCCCCACGCCATCTCAGACCTCGGGTTCGCCTCCACCTGCTTCAGGTTTACCGGGGCCTGGCGCCAACCGGTCCCTGTAGGGGTACTGGCACTTATTCCTGAGGGAAAGAAATTAAAGTCCTCTCTGTTTCATCGAGAAAAGCAATTTATTTTCTATGTAGGGAATCATTTTTGAACTGGACAACCAGAGATCCTTTGTGCTGATTGGCTATTTCAGTTAGTAAAGCTATAATACTATTTTATATTAGATCGTTATTAGATACCGACTATACATTCAAAGATATCATATCATACTACACTGCTGTAAATCACATGAGAATATATCATAATCATAATAATATCATATGACATCATCAAAATCATATCACACTAGAATGCATATCGCACCATATTATATCATTATGTAAACGTTATTGTACATGGAATGTGGATTATCTTTCTTTCTTAGGCTTTCTTTCTTTCTTTCTTTCTTTTTTGTGCCCACGATCATGATAATGATCATTCTGACATACTCATTCACACCTAGGCGCAGTGAGGAAAGTCGTGTAAAGTGCCTTTCTCAAGGGCACAAGATTGGTGGCATGTCAGGACTCGAACTCCGGACCTCTTGGTTCCGAGTCGAGCACTGTGCCGTTATTTATTTATTTATTTTTTTTAATTTTATTAGTTTGCACATTAACAGAACAGACAATAATACAAAACAAGGATAAAACAGGTGCAGGAGGAGGGGAGAAGCATGGAATGTTACTCCACACGACCCCACTGATTATGAACTGGACCCTTAAAACAAACCCTCTTACCTTCCCTGATGAAGACGTCGTTGTTGTTGTCCACTCCCCAGACGACGTTTTCTCCTGACGACACCTGTTTCAGCTGCTTCCCCTGGATGTGGACCCAAGTGGTACCCGCAGACCCCTCGTTCCCGTACGTCCCGACGCGGTAGAACACGTTGTTGTGCACGTTCACACCCCACACGCCAGCGGGACCGACTGACACGAATTTCAGCCTGCCTGAAATCATTTGCCAGCCTGCACCTGTGGTAATAATAGTGGTGGTTACTCGACATACGGTACAGCAGTCATCCTCAACTGAGGTGAAGCATGATGCTTTTCCTAGTATCTTTGTTAAGTGCGATGCAGAAGTGACCGGGGGTGCCAAAGTATACAGTGCAATTTTACGGAATACAGTGAAATTTTACTAGTGTACATATAATACAGTACAATGGTATTAGTATAAAGTGCAATTTTATGGAATACAGTGCAATCGTATTAGTATACAGTGCAATTTTACTAGTATACAGTGCAATTTTACTAGTAAAGTTGCACTAATACGATTGCACTGTATTCCGTAAAATTGCACTATATACTAATACGATTGTACTGTATTCCGTAGAGTTGCACTGTATTCCGTAGAGCTGCATTGCATTCTATTGAGTTGCATTGCATTCTATAGAATTGCACTGTATTCCGTAAAACTGCACTGTATACTCTGGCACCCCTGAACAAGGGACATGCACGTAAAGATTTCGTAAAAATTCAAGAACTACAGAAAAAGCAAGGATGTGGGCCGAGCCTGAGAGACCTACCAGGATAGCAGCAAGAAAGTTCAATATAATTAATTTGAATAGAAGAAGGCACACTGTGAGACAGCTACGTTAATTTACCTGTTGGTGTGCATTTGGTGACCCATGTCCGGCGGTAGATGTAGTCACCCGAATTGACGCCCCACACTGAGTACGCCTCAGCGTTACTACTGACGTCTATTTGCTTCAGTCCTCCGGCAATCTGCTGCCAGCTGGTTCCAGTCGGGTTACTGGATGTTATACCTGATTGGGAACAAATTATCTGTATACATTGCTCCTCAAATGCAGTGGAAGACGAAATTCATTTCATCTCTAACTGTCCATTTTATGACGACATCAGAAAACAATTATTTAGCACCGTGTCCCTTACTTCCCCAGCATTCCCTACCACACACACAAAAACAATGTTACTACGAGTACTAAAATCAAAGAACCCACATATTATAGAAGAAGTGGGTAAATTCGTGTTCCATTGCCTAAAAGGAAGAAGTCAAACCCAGTAAAACTAGTACCATGTATGCTGTAGAATATAGTATAATGCTAGACGTAGATATAGTCTCACATACCACTGCATTTTCTTTCTTATGTTAACGTTGTTTGTAACTGCAATTAGCCCTCGGGCAAGTATTTGCAATAAACTTTTATTATCAAAGTCAACTTGGGTTTCCTACTACGGTATCTTTTCCTTTGTACTGCAGCAGAAATTATTATAGTAGGGAAACACAGTCTCACACATGAGCATATAATACATGTACAAGCACAGATTCAAGCCAGATACTGACCAGTTCGAATGAAGATTCGGTCAGAGCTGTCGACGCCCCAGACATCTCGGCCCGCCGCGATCTGCTTCAAACTGCCGTCGACGCTCACCCACTCGGTGCCCGAAGAACCTTCATTGTGGAACGTTCCCGAGCGGTAGTAGACGCCGTTGTCTTGGTCCACTGCCCAGACCCCCTTCCACCCCGCGGACACGAACTTCATCGGTGAACCGTCAATTTGCCTCCACCTGGCCGCTGAAATAGACATCAACATGAAACAAGAAGCATCGACATCTTTAATGTTGACAATGTCAACAAGCACTGCGCCACAGTAACTATAGTTTTGTTTTCAATCTAAACCCCCGATTACATATACATGAGGACTTTCTGCGACCGTGGCACCGTATGCGAGATTGAAGGGGAAGCGGATGCAAGAGCTCGAAAATCATACTATTGCATTTGAAGCCTACGAAATACATGTGCATATTGCGGGAAAAACATATTATGTGCATCTTACGATGTATGTGGTTGTATCTTTACCAGCGTTATTGAGAAGAACAAGTCCTAAATGTTTACAACATTTGGGTTCAATTGTTAAACCTTTGTTACTGTTTCTTCTATCGTGCCTAGGTAAACAATGCGATCAGAACCTTAAGTTTGCTCGAAAAAGTAAAATGTATCAACTGTTCTTCCCCACTTATTCAAAAGACACTTCTAGAGAAGAAATAACAAAAGAAATACTAACTGTTTAGCAGCGTGGTCGTTCCCAAAGCCTCCTTACTGCACCAAATGGCCAGAATACACAGAAGAACAAGGGTTTTAACCTTATTCATGTTTCCCATGTTGATCCGTGTGATTCGGCTGTGGAAAGTTTTTTTTTTATTTTATTTATTTATTTATTTCAACACCAAAAGCAAACCTTTCAGCAGGGATGAGAATCCCTGAATTGAAAGAGTTTGCGTACAGAAAAAAAAGTTACAATAGGCAAAGCAAACACTATATACACACCCTCATATACACTTTAATACATAAAGAACTTGTACCAAGCAAAAAACTATATACAGATGAGGTTTAGGAAAAATAAAACTAGTGATATGTCAGTTCTTTGTTGTATAGGGCTATGACCCTGTGGAGAAAGGACTGCTGGTAAGTAAGTTGGAAATATAACAGTAAAAACGATGTTTTAAAGTTTACTAAGAATGTTATGAATTTTCAAGAATTTGAAAACTGTAACCACTGTCTAATGTGAATTAGAATTAAAAGACGACTTACATATTTTTCAGAAGAACCGTTGTCACCTTATTTCTCTCCGTGCGGACGGAAGGTTGGAGAACTTGTTTCTATCTGAGGGTCCTGTTGTCCCACGGTATAACATTAACGGTCTTTTGTTAACACAATATAGTTTCCAAATTATGTTTTGACAGAAGAACGCCAATGACGTCTTTAAGCTAACACGCCAATAATTGGATGGTCTAGAATATGTCCAGCAGGAGGCCATCTTGTTTGAGTTCATGAAAGCACAATTTTACTTCAAGGACAAGCAATATTGCCTACCTTATTCATCATTGACCTAATATTTAAGGTCAGACGACATAGATAATGAAATAACTATTAATTTTGGAGGCGTGGGACAACTTGTGTTAGAAACGGGGGCAACTGAGGTAATCCATTGTTACTATTGATGCGTAGGTCCCTGTCCGTTGGTCTTAGTCTTTTTACCGCAATGGAGACCAATTTTACATAGAGAGGTATAATCGTTTTAGACGTAGACCGTAATTAAAATAGTGTTAAGTACTGTAATGTGATTAGGAGAGTTGCTGAGAAGAATAGTGGATAGATCTCCCGTGGCGCTAAACGTTATTTCTTTCTTAGATTTGATAAAGATCTGATAACAATGCGAGGTTTCTTGTATTGCCCCCTATTACTTCTACCGGTCCTTGTTGTTATCGTCCAGAATAACAACGTACTGTTACGAAGAGTTGAAGTCCTGCCTTTGTATATGTGTACTTAAAACACTCAAATATCTGTGACGTTTTTTGTGGCCCTCTTCATTTGAATTGCAATGAAAATGAAATACTTCGTCCCATACATTTAATGATATGACCATAAATAAACAAATATATTATTATTATTATAATGGTCATATCATTAAATGTATGAGACGACATATTTCATTTTCATCCCATACATGTATGTAAATATGAACTGATGTTGCCCATTTCCAAATTTCAGACTGTCAAATATGTTAGGGTAATATAAAGACGTAGTAAGCTATTTTATAATGCGAAAATAGAAATACTACAATGAAAATTATAAATAATGGTTCCATTTTTGATAAAGAGTCTGGATGGCTATCATATACCATGCACACTATCATTAAGTCACTTCCATTTGCATTTAATCACATGATCACAGAAAATACAAGCAAAACACACAAAACAGAAGTTTTCATGATTTCACCAGTCTCAATGAGACAACAGATATAGCTTTTTTGATATTAACTGCTAATTCTGTTACAGACTCATCACTTAGTATGTTACATTGTCTGATGTACATGTGTTTCCTCATATAATATTTACTGTGGTAAGACTTTAGTATGTGCTTCTTTCTTTAGTCGTGCAAGACATTCAATCGTACAAACCTGGGTTCTTAACGTTACTTAAAACCCTTGTCCTGCTGAGCGCAACATATGTCGTCCTGCACATACAGTGCCATCTATATATATAGCACCCTGTATAGGTACGATTTGGGGGGTATTTCTCGTGCAACGCATCACACCGCAGCGAAACACAACAAATGCGGAAGTATGATCTAATTAAGACATGAAATTATTGAAAAATATTGTGCAAGGAATGTCAGCAGGACAAGGGTTAATTAATGGTATATTAGTATATACGTACAAGACACACGTACACGTGTTAAAAATCCAGAAGTGTGCTGACCAAACACCGAGAGGTACACGTCAAGTGATCCGTTTTACACTGTGCTTTTGAGATAGATGCGATCTTCAAACATAGTAGATGAAATATGTCATTATGTTTACCGAAGGAAAACATATTGTTTTTACTCAGTTTCTTCCTCCTCCTCTTCTGTTCCAAACACTAACCTCTGACCTGGCCAATGACATGATTTGTTGACGTCTGCCACCATGGTGACTGGTGTTGGGTTACATAATGTTGCAATTTCATGGTCTGCTCTGCTCCTGTCACCATATACTCGTAGTACATGTATGTGAATGTGTGTTGAGTAAGAATTGACAGGGCAGACCATGTCCGAAGGTAAACATTACGCATTTGCTTTGCAAATGTTACTTCTCTAGTTGCATTTTACTACAGTATGTTGCCTCCTGTAAAAATGACCAGGGTAACACTTGTGCATTATATGATCGTATTCTAGTGTTAACAATATTCCAAGAAAGTATAATTTTCAAATTAATAACATTCATCGTTCGAAAGGAATTCGATTCGTATTCTTATGTGTACAAAGGTCTCGTATAACAGCAGATCGATATTTTGTATAATCAACAAAATGTCAGAATTGGTGAATAGTTATAAGACAAACATTGGCTATCAAAGCCACAACATCAAAGCCACAGCACAGCTTAGTAGTGGTTTTACAGTGTCCTCGGTAACTTGTGTATCAATCCGCGTGAAGGGGTGCTCACTGGAAATAACGAAAATTTGGCTGTCAGCGAAACCATTGTTTAAGTCAAATAATGTAAAACATAATATGCTAATGATAAAATAAGAATGTAAAAGATTGTAATTCATTTCATCAATTCAAACAAATGACCGATAATATTATAATCGGTTACTAATTTCTAATGTGCCACATGTATACCGAATCCATTCAGATAAGGCCACACCGACTTAATTTTATGGATGACATCCTCTGAAGACCCCCAAACTAGTGCGCGCGGGCGAATAAAATAATTCGGCCAAAAATAAAAATGCTACTATTCCACAGGAATACAAAGCTGGTATTGTGAATTTGCAGCAGTACATAGCGACGTACACGACAAGCCAGTACAACCATGACAAGCCATGTTGGCTTTTTGCGGAATCCATGAATCGGTACTGTACGTTTGTACTGAGATCTTGAGTCGAGGGGCTTTGGTGCCATCGGTGCCATCCTCCAGAGTTACCACCGGCTCCGTATTGTCGCTAACTACCATGGACTACCCAGGCCTAGAGCCAGGGCAGACGTGATCATTTTTAAAGAACAGGCCGAAAATCAATGCGCGCGTGGATATCATCTATAAAATTAAGGCGGTGTGGCCTTAGCGCACCTTCTGTATACATACACGAATAGGGTTGACACTCATAATGGCAAGTCAAAAGGAACACAATTCAAACCATAAACATCTCTCTACCTGAAGTGGCACCCCGGTGATACGCTGGAGAACGCTGTTGTCGGTAGAGTTGATGCCCCACGCCATCTCAGACCTCGGGTTCGCCTCCACCTGCTTCAGGTTTACCGCGGCCTGGCGCCAACCGGTGCCAGTAGGGGTGCTGGCACTTATTCCTTAGGGAAAATATCAAGTTATAGTCTTCTATGCACTTATTTTCTTTGTACGGAATCATTTTGAACTGGGCTACATGAGATCCTTGGTGCTGATTGACTACTTTACTTAGCTACATTATTCAGTATTAGAATAGAACTTTATTTACACAACAAAAGTACAGCGACTTTCGTAAGGTCTAAAACTGCATGTAGATATACAGACAAATATACATGGGTACAACGAAATTAACCTACGTACAAAACAATAGATGAGTCAACTAATTCTACTTGTTCTAAGGTCTAAACATTCTTTGATATATTTACCTATTTGTACACAGTAAGGTGTTATTACCTTCTAGGATGAAGAGATAAAAAGGAGTGTAGACAAGCGAAAACAAATTTGTGCAGTGAACTATGTACATGGCCGCGGAGACATACCTGATTTATAGCTGGGAGCTGGGGAGACCCATGTGCTGGGCCAGCCCCAACTTGAAACTGTCGACTGTTGGTAGTGTAACAATGTGTGAAGGTAAAGTATTCCACTCACCGACCGTTCTTGGGAAGAAACTGGCCCGGAAAAGTGCCTGTACATGAAAACAAACCCTCTCACCTTCCCTGATGAAGACGTCGTCGTTGTTGTCCACTCCCCAGACAATGTTGTCTCCTGACGACACCTGTTTCAGGTGCTTCTCCCGGACCTGGACCCAAGTGGTACCCGCAGACCCCTCGTTTCCGTACGTCCCGGCGCGGTAGTACACGTTGTTGTGCACGTTCACACCCCACACGCCAGCGGGACCAGTCGACACGAACTTCAGGTAGCCAGAAATCATTTGCCAGCCTGCACCTGTGGTAAACAGAATCGCCAGGGATTGCCCACATTTCTATTGAAATTTAAATTGAAATACCTTTATTGTACATTCATACCACGACGGGCTAGGTACAGGTCAAGATATAACAGACACATAATAAACATACATAGAAAAGTGGAGACAAAAGATGCACTACTTGACTTATACATACATACATAAGGAACATTTAAGTGTACTATACTAGGCTAATACAAAGTGTTCTAGTCACTGAGCTAATGTAGAGAGGACAACTTCTTCTCGCTTTTTTGTACAATGGAAAATGTGGGAACAGATCATGTTTGTGATACATGGTTTGTCTAGACGCATCAAAAATATAAATCTATCATTTGCACTTAGGTGTTCAAAGTATGGGAACTTCTCTTTGATATGATTAAAAAGGACAGATCTTCCATTAGAATATAAAGTACAGTCTATATATACATATATGAGTGAAGAGCGCCAACATTTATACCGAGGAACTCTTAAAGCCACAAATTGAACACATTCTTTACAATCATTGGGTATAAGGTCTCATTCATGTATTACTCCGAGTGTACCTAAAAGAGTACCAAGTCAAAAACTAAACGGCTGTATGAACGCGTGTTTTTATTGGTGAGAATTTCCCCTTTAGCCATCCCAACTGATGTAAAACGTCAAAGCGGTCAAAGCTTGTTTGTAACTGATGAAATTAGGACGTAATTGTCGGCAGCCGCGCGCTAGGTCGGACGTGCACAGTCCATTGTTGTGAGTTGTGCGGTCGTAGGTTTGCAGCGTGGGAGGGCCTTTTGCGGGCAGCCGCTAGGTGCAGTTTGTAATTCCCATAAAATGAGATTGTGTGTATAGAAGTCGTTGGCAATTTTTTTATGAGATGTAGAGTAAGTGTGCTCAACATAGCATGAAAGATATCAATTAATTTAATGTAGGATCATAGGAAACACGGTCTCGTAAGTCGCTCATTAATGCATGGTTTCTAATGTATGGAAAAAACTCATGAATGAGACCATAAATGTAGATACACTGTACAGTTCAACGATGTATAACTCAGACATTATATCGGTAAGTATGTTGTGTCCGAATACAAATACAGGTAACTATCTGACACCGTATTAAATATCTACACAGCATTCCGAGTCCATTGGCATACGGAACGTATATATGAATGAATGACGACCTTTATTGCACATTTTTGCCACACCGGGCTAAGTGCAGGTCAAAACAAGACATGATGAAAAGATATACACAAAATAAAACTAGTTATCATTACATAAGTTCAACTTCTCGCTTTTCAGTTATGGTAGAGATAAAAGAACAGATATGTTTTTCGATGGAAGGTTTGTCAAGTCGCATTAGGAATATGAATTTTTTTACAGTGCTCAAGTGTATGAAGTAAGGATTTGTACATGTTGCAAGCCTATACCAAAAAGATAATTAACGTTTCAATGAATGAATGAATGAATGAAGACCTTTATTGTACGCAAATACCCACTGGGTTCAGTACAGGTCACAGGAAAGACGTCACAGTTTGCAATGAATATATACAATGCACAAGCTAGCACTAATTCTGTGTACTATGGACATATAGTCAAATAATTACGATAATTTGGCTTCTTCTCGCTTCTTAGTAATGATGTAGATATAAGTACAGATGTGTTTTATAATCGAAGGTTTGTCTAAAACCATCAGAAATATGAAATTATCTGTGTTGCTAAGATGTATGAAATGGGGAAACATACATTGCAATAGTTTATGATATGAATAATATCAATATGAATAAAAGAAGGCACATCGCAAAACAAGTGGTTTACCTGTTGGTGTGCATTTGGTGACCAATGTCCGGCGGAAGATCTGGTCCCTTGAATTGACGCCCCACACTGAGTACGCCTCAGCGTTACTGCTGACGTCTATTTGCTTCAGCCCTCCGGCAACCTGCTGCCAGCTGCTTCCAGTCGGGTTACTGGCTGTTATACCTGATTGGGAACAAATTATCAAAGTCATTTTGGGGTTTCCTAGTATTTTTCCTTGTACTGCAGCAGAAGACTTTCTATTGCGGATACTCTTAACTTTTTGATATCTCTAAAACGTATTTTCTTATAGATATAGATAGACCGGTAGATAGATAGATATGAAATGTACTTGCAATTTATGTGTAAAAATGATTTTAAATTGAAACACTAAAATGTCCGATGCACATAGGAACTTTTAACATTTTGTCTTATTTGCCTTGCGCCCTCCTCTTAGTATAGCAAGAGACAAAGGGCTGTACATGTCATAGGCTTTATCCAGGCAACCTTTCATCTTGTACTTTCATTGTAATAAAGATGATTTTAAACGCCTCTCAATTATCATTATTTTTTTTATTCCAACATGTAATCACCAGACATGGTGACGACACACTCAAGTTTTTTCAACTTATATTAATGCTGCCACCAACACAGGGGAAAAATAGGACAATACTCATTTACACCTGAGCTAAGTGAGGAAAGTCGTGTAAAGTGCCTTTCCCAAGATCGGTGGTATGTCAGGACTCGAACCCGGGACTCTTAGTTCCGAGTCGCGCACTCTGCCGCTACGCCACACGGCCCCACCTCTCAATTATGTACAGGCAAACACAGAGACAAGATAAATACTGACCAGTTCGGATGAAGATTCGGTCAGAGCTGTCGACGCCCCAGACATCTTGTCCCGCCGCGATCTGCTTCAAACTGCCGTCGACGCTCTCCCAGCCGGTGCCCGAAGACCCTTCATTGTGGAACGTTCCCGAGCGGTAGTAGACGCCGTTGTCTTGGTCCACTCCCCACACCCCATTCGCCCCAACAGACACGAACTTCATCGGCGAACCCTCAATACGCTTCCACCTCGGCGCTGAATTCGATGAAATGGAGATCAGAATGAACAACTGATAAATAGATATTGACTCGTAATGTTGACAATGTCAAGAAGTACCAATATATTTTTTCTCAAGCTCAGGTTACATACATCGTGCGATACACCTACACACCGTACGATACAGCTACTACTACTTTCTGCTACGGCCGTGCCGTACGTGGTAAAGCGTCAAACAAAACTGGTGAAATAATCTGAAGATCAAACCATAATGATTGCTTTTAAAACCTACGACATACAGGGAAAGGATATTATCGTACAGGCACCGTACGATATAAGATTCTTCTTTATTGACATAACAAAAAAGTACAGGGACTTTTGTATGGTCTTCTACAACTAAAGATCCAACAAAGCTAAATACATGTGTGGATAACGTCATCTTACGTGCAGAGTATATGTATGCTGTAACAATAAAGGTTTAACTATTCTCTAACATGTGGTCTCTAAGATCGAAACATTCTTTAATGTATTTTCCTATTTGAACACTGTATTTGTTATCTCCCTTGAGAATGTAGTTGAATTTATCTACAGGATCTAACGTCTTGAAATCAATTGAACAAGCGGAAAGAAAGGTGAACAGCAATAGGCGCTTATCATTGTATAGTGTACAATCCATTATAAAATATGTGGCCGGGTCTTTACCTGACTGCGCTATTGTGACGAGCAGGTCCTGGTTGTTTACAACCCTCGAGTTCAGTTGTTGGACCTTCGCCACCGCTTCTTCTATCAGGCCTAGGTAAACAAAACGATCAGAACCTCGTTTGGAAAAGTGTATGACATGATAGTTCATTCTTACAAATCGAAGAATCTACCTGTTTTACCAACATTTTCACATAAGGCAATTCAAGACAGGGAATTATAAGAACAAAACAATTAAATACTAACTGTTAAACAGGGCAGCTTCTTGCGTGGTCATTCCCAAGGCCTCCTTACAGCACGAGAGCTCCAAAATACACAGGAGAACAAGGGTTTTAACCTTGTTCAGGTTTCCCATACTGAACGTTGTACGTGATTCTGTTGAGAAACATTAGAAATGTAGCAGTGACAAAAACATATTTCAAATTTGCAGGATTCAGTAATCTCTAAGTAGATCACAGGTTGGCAAAAACAGTATCAGACTGGCCAGACAGCAAGGCCAGAATGGATACTGCATGGTCAATTTGTTACCTTGTTTTTGCATGCCACCATAGGATCTGCTTGGAGATTAGACTTTGGATACTAGAAGTACCAGGAATAGTTGCTAAATACTGAACCAAATTTCTTAAATTTGAGGGGTGACATGGGCACTGTCAAATATAAATGTAAACGACTTACATGTTTTCAGAACAACAGGTTGTCAGCTTATTTCTCTCCGTGTGGACGGAAGGTTGGAGAACTTGTTTCTATCTGAAGGCCCGGTCTTCCCACGGTATAACATTAACGGTCTAGTTAGTCTTTTGTTAACACAAAACAGTTTCCAAATTATGTTTCGACATAAAATCCTTGATGACGTCTTTGGCTAACACGCCAATAATGGAATGATGTCTAGTAGGGTCCGTCTTGTTTGAGTTATGAAAGCAAGAATTTACTCCAAGGAGACGCATATTTGCCTGCCTGTATTCATCGTTGACCTACTCTTTAATAAAATCTTCAAGGTCAGACAGCCTAAGTAATGTAATCATCATCGATAATCGGGTGTGGGACAACTTGTGTTAGAAACGGGAGCAACTGAGGTAAGGCCACACCGATTTAATTTTATGGATGACATCCGCGCGCGCATTGATTTTCGCCTGTTCTCCAAAAAAAATTCCGCAAAAAGCAAGCATGTGCCGGGGTGTCGTATATGTCGCTATGTACTACCGTAAATTCACAATACCGGCTTTGTATTCTTATGGTTTAGTAGCATTTTTTTTCGCCCCCGCGCACTAGTTTGGGGGTCTTCAGAGGATGTCATCCATAAAATTAAGACGGTGTGGCCTAATCTATTGTTACTCCAACAAGAACTAATCTCATATGTAGAGGAATGTTAGTAAATCGTGGTTGAGAAGTAGACGATGATTAAGGTGGTGTTAAGTACTGTGTCTGTGAAAGGTTGTAGAGTTAAGTGGAGAAGAACGGTGGCAAGATCTCCCGTGGAGCTCGACGTTAATCGTATGGAAATTCAATAAAGGATTGGTAACATGCGAGGTAAAGTGTTTTGTTCTGTATTACCGCAAAACACTGTACCAGCTCTTGTTTTCTTGGGTCCAGAATAACATTACTGTTAAAACGAGTTACGTATACGCGGTCTTTGTACCTCCGTAAACGAATGAATAACAACGTACTTTGATCACAACCATTTTTTTTTGTGAGCCGACGTTTCGATGATCGTCTGTCATCTTCTTCGGGGCAATTCTCTGATGAAGATGCCCTGATGAAGATGACAGACGGTCATCGAAACGTCGGCTCGTAAAAAAACAAATGGTTGTGATCAAAGAACTTTGCTATTCGGTCTCTTTATCTGCATAAAATACTTAAAAATTTCATAGCAAAGCACTCAAATTTTCGTGACGATTTTGTGCCCCCTCCCGTTACAATTTTGGGCTGCAGAGCAAACGAAATGAAAATAGTACCCATCTGTTTCATCTCACACACGTAATGATTTAGCCAGGTATAAGTTACCCATATTTTTAGATTTCAGACTGTCAAATATGCTGGAGGGTAAAATGTGAAAAACAAAGTACTCGAATGTCAATATATGGCAATGCCTTTCTCACTGGATGGTCTGGGTGTCCATGTATCATGTGACTCAACTACATTATAATAGATAAGTTCCCTAGCTTTGGACATTTAAATGAATAAGAAAAAATTATATTTCTTATGAAACTTGACAAACCATGTATCATTTGTTCTTTATGCTCGTACATCTATAACTGCGTCAAGAAGCGAGAAGAAGTCGAACAATGTAAATAGTAGATCACATTAGTATGTATAGTTTAAGTATCATTGCTGTATCCTTTTCCTTTTCTATTCATGACCTGTACTTAGCTTGTTAGAGCACAAATGTACAATAAAGGTCTTTCATTCATTCATTATTTGAATCCAGAACGAAACACATACACAGATATGTGACTACTTTAATTTTATTGAACTACGCGCCACATTTCTTTGCTCTTATTTTACAAAGAATACAAAGAATATTTTACAAAGAATATTCTACAAAGCCTGCTAATTGCATACAGATCAATCCAATACATCAATATGTAACATCAGAACACTGATTCATAAAAACTGAGAAAAGATGTATGCAACTAAATTAAAGTTAGAAATAAAACATATTTACCGCTAACCATCTTGGCACAGTCTAAGCATACCAAAGTACATCCCATTGTGTTCTCAGAATCTATATTTTGAAAATAACTTGCAAATAAATAAAATGAAATGAAATGGAAATAATCCTACAAGCTCAATTTTACATGAAACATCATGATACACAAAGAACTATTTTCTAATGATACAAATTAAATACTGTAACATCATTCAGCTCTCTCAGGTAACGTGTAAGAGGTGGTTGTCACTTCAGAACGTCCTATTTTCTATTTTTGTTATTCCGACTCTACTTGCCGCTTTAGATCTAAATTTGGGTTGTGTGTACTGCAAAACACGCATTTGTGCATTCTGTCTAAAATGACTATAAAAGAAGTCACTCAGATACTACTTGGTCATCACAGTATACAGTATCACTCTGATGAGGTACTCAGATACTACTAGGTCATTACAGTATACATTTGTACTTTATACAGTATACGTTTGTCTTAATTCTTTCTGAGTCACTCAGATACTACATAGTCATAACAGTATACAGTATCACTTCTTTCTGATGAGCCACTCAGATACTACTTAGCCATCACAGTATACAGTATCACTTCTTTCTGATGAGGTACTTAGATACTACTTTGTCATCACAGTATACATTTGTACACTCAGTTTTACTCTTAATTCTTTCTGAGTCACTCAGATTCTACTTAGCCATCACAGTATACAGTATCACTTCTTTCTGATGAGGTACTCAGATACTACTTTGTCATCACAGTATACAGTATCACTTCTTTCTCATGAGTCACTCAGATACTACTTGGTCATCACAGTATACAGTATCACTTCTTTCTGATGAGGTACTCAGATACTGCTTAGTCATCACAGTATACAGTATCACTTTTTTCTGATGAGGTACTCAGATACTACTTGGTCATCACAGTATACAGTATCACTTCTTTCTGATGAGGTACTCAGATACTACTTGGTCATCACAATATACAGTATCACTTCTTTCTGAGGAGTCACTCAGATACTACTTGGTAATTACAGTATACAGTATCTCTTCTTTCTGATGTGTCACCCAGATACTACTTGGTCATCGCAATATACATTTGTACAGTATTAATCCTTTCTACGTTACTCAGATGCTACTTGGTTCTCACAATATACACTGTATCACCGTCTTTCTGATGAGTCAATAAGATACTTCTTGGTAATTACAGTATACAGTATTATGTCTTGCTGATGATGTACTCAGATACTACTAGGTCATCACAGTATACATTTGTACAGTTCTAATCCTTTTTAAGTCACTCAGATACTACTTGGTAATTACAGTATACAGTATCACTTCTTTCTGGCTCATTCAGATACTACTTGGTCATTACAGTATACATTTGTACAGAATTCATCCTTTCTAAGTCACTCAGACGCTACTTGTCCTCAAAATATACAGTACTAGCATTACATCTTTTTTAATCAGACAGGTAGTACATGTTCCTCACAGTTTGCAATTTCTCTGAGATTGAATGAGAATTAGTTCTCTTTGAAACGAAATCAGCCTTCTAGGAACGATTCTCTTCGCAATTCACTACAGCGTCCAGCAAGAAAACTGCGTGTTATGAGCAAAATAAATCAATCGAAAAAGATGATCATTGGGCATGTTTGGAACATCTGGGACGCATAACAAATATTCGACATTATGAAAACTTAACTTTTCTCCAACTCAAAATTTGACTCACCAGAAATGTTCGACTGAATCACTCAGTCTTCCTCAGCTATCTGACCCAAATGCTGTGGACACGTGATTTTTCCCACGTGTGACGTCAGCAAAGGGTCAAAGGTTGTCTGAAGTCGATATCGCCCCCCGTCCCGGTTGAGCGATGGTTGAAGTGCCCTGATGTATATGGCCTCTTTTATGCCTCTCT